GTGAGTCATGCTGAAATGAATGTGCAGAAGTTTTCTTTTGTTATTGTCAGTGGAGCTTATAATGGGAAGCAGGACTCCCAGTTCTATTTCTGACTTGTGGCGCTTGTCCATAAACCCACCATGTCAGTTAAGTCCTCTGGATCTCTCTCAGTTGGCCCATTTGTAGTATGTGTCCCAGAGTTTATTCCACATCACTCTTCCTTCTGAAGCTTAATAAATTCCACCAAGTGTTAAGCAAAAATTTTATAATTTTGCATTGTTATAAAAGTTTCAAATATTTTTTTCTTTTTCATAGAGAAATTAGGCCCAGAAGGAACACTGTTCTTTAGGAATTTGAATTGTGCTATTTACTTTCACAGTGCTAATGTGCAGAGTATGTACAGTGAAAGTAAGCTAGAAGCAGCGTGCTGTACATCAGAATATCTGAAATGTCATGTTAACCACATAGAATTTAAAATAAAACCTGTACGGTTCTTTTTATCCAGTGTTGTAGCTACTGTTGTTGCACAGTCTTATTCCCTAGGTGTGGAGCATTATGTAATTGATCTGGCCATGCTTTTCCTCTCTGGTCTCATCCATGCATGGCAGAGAAGCTGATAATCTGTAAATTGTGTGGGGGAAAGAGCAGGTTAGAGACTGTCCCTTGTCATTTGATATTTGAGTGCCCCTGCATGTGCCATATATTAGTTTTATTTTCTACCGTGACTCCGAGCTATGAGAAAAGAACTCTCCAGAGCATCTTAAAAGATATCTATTAAAGATGGAAAGAGTTAAGCAAAACGCAGACAGTAGATCTCACAGCCAGGAGTAAAAATAATATACATGGGTGTCTCTCATGCTTTAATTGGAAGAGAGGCATAGGAGCGTGGAGCTTAGTTTCCCTTGCAAGAACGCTTTGTAGCAGAGTGCTTGGTGGAGGCTGAGTGGGGAAGTGAAGGTAGGTGGTAAGCGTACATCTGTGTCAAGGCTGTGACAAAATGCTTGGAAAATGCCCAGAAAAACAAATGATGGTAACACTTAAGTTTTGCATTGTTTTCCCTAGAGTTCATAATTTTCCCTGTGAGGAAACAGAAGTTGATATTGGAAAAGGTCAGGCAGCCTCTGTAGTGCTGAAGATGAATGTGAGGGCCTCCTGTGCAAGATTAAATTTGAGAAAAAGAAGCAAATCAGGAAATATGCATGGCACCTAATTAGGCTCCTGCAGTGATCTGGTATGAGCCCAGCTTCTGACTTGCTGGTGCTAGGCAAAACTGGCCCAGTTTATGGGAGCTTTGCCTTCCCTGTCTTCATGGGAGAGATTCAACCTGAGGAAAGGAATACTGGAGAAAAAAAGTACTGGAAACTTAAGTGTAAATTCACTAATGGGTTGTTGGATAAGGACTGCAGAAAATCCAGAACTCTGGAGTGTCTCGGAAGTGGCTCCCTTTCATGAATTTTACTGAAGTAAGGAGTTTCGTGGAGTTGGATTTTTAGTTTAGTTGGGCCCGTGTCCAAACCAGCCTGGGCTATATTTTGGCCTAATGAGTACTTGGCTGGGATGCCATCAAGTATATTGCTGGTGCTGCAAGAAGTGCATAAGGATTGATGAGTCCTTACGTGGTGCTCTTCGCCGGGACCAGTCCAGGAGCCCAAGCGAAGCATATGAAGGCTGCTGCCCAGCTGGTTCTGGTAGCAGTTAAAGAACTGGCTGTGCTTTTTATACGAGCTGAGGATGGCAGTTGCATTCATATTCAGAGTCTACAGTTTGATAGTGATGTTTCGTTGTGCCTGAATGGCCCTATTCTTTCCATTAGATCCTTAACTTTTCCCTTTTAGAAAAAAAAAAAGCCAACCCCCAAAACCAAACCCAACAAGCTGTTTGATACTGCTGCTACAAGATGTCTGTGACGTTCCTACTCCAGAAACAACCTCATTTTAATGTTGGGCAAAGTAATTCTTGCATTCAAACATGAAGAGGTTGTAATGAAGCTTTGTGCACTGCTACCTGAGAAGAGACGCTTTTAAATGTGAACCACATACATCATTATTAGTGCAGTTGGCCTGTTGCCCATCAAAGCACTGATTATTTTCTGCAGCAGCTACTCCAGTTCCTCTGCTTTTTCAGTTTCCTGTTATCTCACATGGACATCAGTGGTCCCTTTGCCAAATTTTTTAGTAAAATCATGGCACTCCAGACTCATAGGAAGAGGATTTATCAGCACTATAGCAGTTAATTGCTTTAGCTGGCATATGGCACTCTCCTTTGAACAGAGGAGATGCAGAAAGTGTGTGAATGCTATTGGAAGTGAATCACTTTGAAAGTTGTTCTGTCTTGGTGGGGAAGTTAAGACAACTAGTAATGGATTTAGTATCTTAGATCTGCTTTTTGAAATGGTCCAAAACTGTGTTAGTGAGCTATTTTGAGAGATGCTGTACTTTAAAAGGGCTGAATTTTCTGTTTATTTGTTTATATACTTTGTTTATCTTGGCCTTTTTGGGTGCACTTATTCATTGAGTGTTAGTGCTTAGGTGCTTGAATACACAGTTCCTGAGTAAATTTGTCCTTTGTATCTCATTCTCTTTCATGGATGTTTCCCAGAGGAGCTCCTTCAGCCAGATCTATTGAAGGAATAATTATTTCATCAGGATTTAATGTATACCTTGATTGCACTTTGAAGACATTCTCCTGAGAAGTTTTTATCATTTTAACAAGGGATCATAGCATGCAAACAAGGAAATAAACATTATCTTTCATATTAATCAACAAGATGATTAAATAATAACCACAGTTGTTAATTGGTACTTGGAGATAGAGGGTAATGACTGTCTTGAATTCCACAATGAGAGTACCAACAGGTAGAAGCTCTTTTCTGCACAATAAAGCTGCATATAATTTAGGAAGCATTACAGTTTTAATCTGCAGCTGCAACCATAGTGAAGTTGTGCAACTGTTTGCCTGGTATCCCATTTCAGGCATATGTTTTCATACTGAATGAGATATTAGCAGGGGATTTGAGGTTTAGGCAGTTAAATCAGTTCTCATTGCCACCAAAACCCCGAGGTTCTGTATAAACCCATGCGTGCAGCGTTTTGCTTTGCTGTGGGACACAGTTCCTGCTGGTTTCAGGATGCGGCAGGAATCAAAAGCTGCTTCTTTCCTCGTAGGCAAGAGTCCAACTTGTCCCTCACAAGACAGTGGCTTCTGGCTCCCTCTGAGTTTGGAACTACAGCCTCATTTTTTATCACACAAGTCTTTGTCTTTTTCTAAATGCTGCAGTGTTTGTAGAGGGAGAAGGAAGCACGTAGGGGGTCTGCACCTCTAGAAGCTGATGAAGGAAAAAGGTCCAGGAGTTTAACACATGCATTTGGGAATGAAGAGCATAGGACTGGGGATTTTGGAGATCTGTGTTGAGAGTGCTGCCCCTCGTACTGACTAGCTGTCTAATCTTGACCCAAGTGACTAATTTTGCTCTCAGACGCAACCAGTTCTTTGTACTGTAACTCATTTGAAGCAAGCAGTGCTGATGGAAGAAACTGTGCAGCCCTCCTGCTCTCAGTGTTCGTTTTTGCTTCTAATCTACCATAAATAGAACTAAAGGAAGAGTTTCTGACTCAGCCTGAGACTGATGACTGGATTCGTGGCAAGGTTAGGGGCCTAGATTTACCGTGAATTAGGTATGACAGTAAAGCACAGCCTTAGTTTCTCCATATGCCTGTTGCTTATAATACCTCACAGATGCTAATGCCAGCTCATAGTTGCTGAAAAGTACTTGGAGATCCTGGGCTGAAAGGCATGATGAAAATATAAAGTACCCATTGTATAAAGGGACTTTTTGTTGTCACATATTTGTAAACCAGTTTTTCCAAAGTCACAGGCCTTTATATTGTAAGCGTGGACCAGAATAGCTCTTTGTCCCCAGAAGACCTGTTGGCATTGGTAGCATGGTCTCAGGTCACCCACAGCTCCTGGCAGTGTGACGCTGCATTTCTGATGGTTTAACACTCATTCAAAGTCATGTTGGAAGACAACACGTTGGATGCTTTTATGATATGTGTCTGAGGGTGGGCCATCTACTGACAGTCTCAGGGTCAGATCACACATGTCTTATTCAGGTGGAAAAATTGTCCTTGGCTTTCACAGAGCCAAGATTTCACCCTCACTGCCACCCCCGGTTGCCCAGCGTGTGCTTACTAACACATATGTTTGTTCTACTTAACTCTGCAAGGTGATTTTTTCCCACGTCAGTTTTGATATAGAGTCAAGTTTCTGTTTTTGTTTCTTGCTATGCTGTTTGCTGTTGCTGAAGGGGAAGAGCAGAAATACTGATTATGTTCCTATTCTTATTCACGAGGAAGAATGTTACAATTTTAATTGTATGTTTTAATTTTTCCTTCTTCATCTTTCAAGTTTTGAAATTCTGCATTTCAAAAGCAGGATCATTATCATTCAGAACATTAAAGCATGTCTCTTTAATAGCTTTCCTTTTTAATATGAAAGAATGGAATTGAGGAGGAAAAACCAATCTGTCTTGAAGGAAATTCTCTGTTATCTAAGGATTTTCAGTGCAGCCAACAAGAGAGGATCTTGAGCTCAGCTGACTCGGAGTGTTATTCTCTGCCTCGAGTAACTTGTAGAGTACAAAGAACCACTTTCATAATGTTATCACCAGCAAAGTCCATCTGGTCCTACCAGTGACAAGGGGATTATTTCAGCTTTTTATTATGTCAGTGAGATTTCAGCATTTTAGGATTCAGCTGTCAAGCTGTTGGGGGAAAGGGGAAAGTTAGATTATAATTGGAACTCTGTTGGGGGAGAAATTAACTGAATATTTTGCCAGTAATTTTTCTACCCATATTTCCTTCTATTAGTCTCCTGATGGTTTGTCCTTATGAAATCAGATTAGAACGCAATGACTTGATTTGTTAAGCAGGCAGTGATGACAATGAGCATCTGTTTGTCTGGTCCAGATTCCCATTAACATCTAGTAACGTTGTCCTTTCTTGCTATTACTTTTATACAGAGCAGCACAGAAGCTTAACCTGTCTTCGAAGAGAAAGAAATACCATCCGCCCCTGCCACACACACACGACTTCTCTATTTATGCTACTAACTTTAGTGGCATCCTGCAGCTCTGTCCTCCCCCAGCACCACCATGCCTTCTGAGAGCTGTGTCCAAAATCAAGGACAACCCTGGCATTGGAAAGGTAACTTTGGATTTCGATTTTTTTAAAATAGCTTTCTAGAGGAATTCTAACAGGGCTGGAAGCTTTCAGCCGAGAACAGGGTTGGATAGGCTCAAGGGAAGGGTCTTGGGATAGAGATGGCCACAGCCATTTGAATCTGCCCGAGAGCTGTTGTCACCTGTTGACTTTGGAAAAAACTGGCAGCCTCAGAGCAGATTCAGTGCTAGAGCGTTGGCTTCCTTGAAGCCAGTTAACATCGTCGACAACAACATTGGCAAGGGTTGTTTTGTCCTTTCCTCTGTTACAGTAAGAGACAAAATTTCCTCTGACATCATTGGTCCAAACCCAATGCACATACAGGCTTCACCTTTGGCAGAAGTAGTCTCTGCGTTGCCAGCAAGGCTCAGTCGCTGGTGATGGTGCTGTCTGTCTGCTCGAGGCTAAGGAGATTACGTTGAGGGGGCTTTGTTTCCCTCTGCTTCACGTTGTAAATCAGGAGTGTTGAAATGAAGTAGCAGGAGAGAAATACATGTTTCTCCCACGTAGAAAATACAGCACTTTTCAAATTGTAAAGTTTGTGCTAATTTTATTTAAAATTAATTAAAATACAACCCAGTTATTTAGAGCTTTATTCATATTTATAACTGTTTAATCATCCACACAGCAGAGTCTGAATACTTATTTACATAGATTACAAGAGATTAGCGTTTGAAGATAGAACTGAAGTATGCAATGTGCACAGGAGAGCTGAAATATGCACCTTGAGTAACCATACAAATCAGTATTAGCATAAAGAGACCGTCAGCCTAAATACCTATAGCTGACACAGTTGCTCACAGAGAGTACTCTGTATTTCTTCAGTCAGTGAGTTTGTGCTAAATGGAGAACAAAGGAGTAACTGGGGATATTTTAAACAGGTGGAAACACAGATGAAAATGTGGTTTCTTCTCTTGTTTTTCCAGCGTGTTAGAAAAGAGGATGTAGTATTAAATGGTTGAATACAGCAAACCTGGCACAGGAATTTAGAGATTCCCAGCTGGAGGAGGGTTTGCTTAAGGAACACCCTTTCTATATGTGAGTTTTAGCAGAGCCCATTTGTTGCACCTGCCTCTTCTCGGTGAGCACTTCTCGGTGAGCACTTGGCTGTGTTACCAGGAATAACAGGGAGAGTGACATTTCTGAGGCTCTTTGCCGTAGGAAGACCTTTAATGCATGGTTATATCTCCCTGTGCCTGCAGCTCAATAAAACTGTTGTTGTACCTCACTGCACTTGTGTGCCTGCAGCTTTGTGTGCCTGCAGCTGTGCGTAGCCAAGAGACTTAAACCTTTTTTCTGGTGCTTTGACGGTGGCCAGTGGAGCTTACCAGCATGACTTGTGCCTCTTGGAAAGCTCTGGTTTACCTGGTGTCTTCAAATAGATCAACAAGGTCTAATAAAGATAAAGTGCATGATCCCAGATGGCAGGAGTTTATATGCCTTAGGTCATGTGGGTCTACCTACTTTCTTCACTAGTGAGCAGAGCGGAGGGCTTTCAAAAGGAAGAGCTCTACCAGAATGCCAAGGGGCATGGCCAGACCTAGCTGTGTGAGCTTCTCCTCCAACATGGGATATATATGTATCCCATGCTGGCAGTGTGGGTGGTATTTCTCTCCTGCCTGGCACGCTACATCAAGAATTTCCAGATTTTATGGGTCAACAAGCTACTATTGACCCTCAAAAGTCTCTGTTGTTTAGCTCTCAGCTGAAAACATTATTGAAAATACTGTCTGTTTGGGCCCAGGGTTCCAGCTGTGTCCTTCTCACCACATACTTGTTGACCACAATTTGGAAGAATCCTGTGCTGTGCTGGAAAGGATAAGAGCTCTCTGCTAATTGAATCAGCCCTTTAGTCTTCAGATGAGATCTAGACCATCCAAATGGTGATGGCATGTGCTAGTTACTAGTTTTAATGCTTGTTTTCTCTGATCCACAGCCTAAAATGTGCAATACCTATTAAATGTCTCCCTTAACCCATTCTTCTTTTGCAACTTGTTAAATTATAGTGTTTGCCCATAGAAAAAATCCCTCCAGAAATACAGCTTTTTGTAAAAATTGTGAGTCAGCACAGATTTTTTCAATGAAAGAGTTGTCAGGCATTGGAATGGGCTGCCCAGGGAAGTGGTTGAGTCCCCATCCCTGGAGGTATTTAAAAGACGGGTGGACAAGGTGCTTAGGGACAGGGTTTAGTGGTGGATGGCAGGGTTAGGTTGATGGTTGGACTTGATGATCTTGGAGGTCTTTTATAACCTGAACGATTCTATGATTCTGTGATTTTATGAAATTAAATCTAATCCTAATTCTTAGAATTTGTGATCAAAGGAAAAGTCAGTCCTATGTAAATGTTCTTTTAGTACTAAACACTGATAGTTTCACCTTCTCTGAGCAGTGCCAAGGAGCGTTTGGTAGCATTTAGCCCACTGTGCAGTAACATTCTTTATAATTTCCTCTTCACCAGCTTCTGCTGATCAAAATTCAGTCAGCTAGTATCTCGTTATGAGGGTGATGGGAATAAAGTAATTACCTTTCTTCCTCACTGCTTCAAGTATCATAGCAATTGAGAGAAGAATCAGCAAACACTGGCAGATGTGCTGTAGTCCTCTGTTAACTTCAGTCCCTCTTCTTCTAACAGCTTTTTGCTTTACACTCTTCCTGGTTATCTTTTTCCGTGGCTTTTTCTTTCAGCCTGTCCCATAATAAGTACGAGATGTGCATAGGGGACAGAATCAGTGATGGATTCTGGAGTCACTTTTTCCTACCGCAGCGTCTGTGGCTGTGACTGGTGCTCTCCTTGGTTTGTCTGATCGTTCCCAGGTCAGCGGTGTCCCTCACCCTGTTACTACCGCGTGGTTACAGTGAGTTAAGCAGCTGGTGGGGCAGCCTTTTCCTTCTTCACCTCCCAGCTTGCTGCTGTTTTGTCTTTCATGGTTAGTTATGATGGGGAGAACTGGTTCCTTGCTGGCTTCTGCTGTACAGGTAAGAATGTAGCAGTGCCGATGGGCTGCCTAATTCCCACCTAACTTCACCTTACTAAGCTGAGAATGACCCATTGAAGACCAGTCCTTATTCCCCTCAAGGGAGTGATTTCTCTGAGCACAGATAGCTTGACAAGTTTTAATTCCCTTCTTGTCAAATAGTTTCTTTCAGAGCAGGACAGGATTCTATAGAGCAACATGCCTTTTCTTACTGTGAAGGGGCTCAAGAGAGAAAATTTAAGGAGAAGAGTATAAGTTATGTGAGAATGAAAAATAGAGTAGCAAACTGGAAACCCATGGAGTGTCCTAGATACTTCAATGGGAGCAATGTGGCTCCCTTTATGAAAAGCTGAAGAGATGAATGATGTGTCAACTGTGTGGAAATACCGTTTATATTAGGAGGGAACTAGTGAGTAAGGCCTGAATACTACAAGGACTAATAATTATCTGTTGTGAAACACTCTAGATAGTCCCATTTCTTTTGTAAATCTGCTGAAAGCTTAGACCAAAGTACATGTTGAAACATTTACAATGACCGATGTGATTAGCTTTCTGTATTTCCCCTGTGATGGTAATTCGTAACATTTTTTCCCCCCACTGATGCTCAGGGTTGTCTTTTAGCAGGTATTCAATACATTATTAGAGACACAGGAACGGAATGTTGAAAATGTGATGTCACTTTGGGGCCAAAAGGGTAAAAAAGGGTCCAGAGGGAATCTAGAAGTATAGTGTTGTAAGGCTGACTTTCAGACCAGGCAACCAGGCAAAGTGGTTGAAACAATAATAAAGGTAGAAATTAGCAGGCAGGGATTAACGTGATATAGTAGGGATCAGCTGATGGAGCTTTTACAGGTGGAACACATACGTTAGTGTCCTGTGGAAGAGTCAGTGAGCATTTGAAGAGGGGTGGTCTGGTTGATAGAGTGTATTTGGATTTTGAAAAAGCTTTTGACAAGTGCCCTGACCTAGGTTTCTTAAAAAACCCCTAAGCTGTCATGGTATTCTCTAGTGGTTTAAAAACTGGTAGGAAACGAGAGGGCAGATTTCACACTGGAGCAGAGTTAGCAGCGGTGTCGTATGGAGGTCCTCGCTGCTCGGTGTCTTCCTAAATCGGATGAGGTGGTGAAGCTGCGTATTCAGAGCAGCCAAAGCTGAAACTAACTGTGAAGACTTGCAAAAAGATCTCATGGCACTGAGTTACTGAGTGGATGAAGAGGCAGATGAACTTTAGTATTGATTAACACACGGTAGTGTACGTAAGAAAAGGAGCTCTAACTATGCACAAACGATAAGCTGTAAGGAAATCAGGCATGACTGTAACCCATTTTGCCAGGTACAACATTATGTTTGTTGGCACGAGTCTGAGCTTCTAAAGAAATGCTTTACTGACTGTTCAGGAGACAAGAAGATTCAGCATCTTTAGTTTTAGGGGGTCTCCAACAGTATGTAATATAAATACATGTTCCCCTTCAGGCTCATAATGCTCAAATAAGTGTCACGCATTGATGTTTTTTTCTTTACCGGTCTTCTTTCTTGAGGTAATATTTTTGAAGAAGTTTAATAGAGGATGGTAACAACTGAAGAAATGTGAAGATTTCACCTCCTTCTCCATGTATATATCTCTAAATTACCTTCTCAGAGGGGAGCTATTGCTGTGGCTGAGCGAGGGAAGAGCTGGACCTTAAGACTCCAGCATGCAGAAGCAGCAGCTCTTTGTGTTTTGCTGCTGGTACAAAGTTGGACACCAGTAAGCCTGAACCTTTGGAAAAAAGACCTCACCAAACAAATTAACATCTGTACCTGGAATTTTAACTTTCAAAGCTGCCCTACCATGACTATTGGCTTTTCCTGCCAAAGAAACTCCCTTTGGCCAAAGCACCAATTCAGTGGAGAGCTTCCCCATGCATTAAGTCCTTTTCATTCATTTCAAAGTTAAACACATGAGTAAGAATTATTCTGAATTGGGGTGAGGGACAGTTGAACCTAAGGAACTGATTGAATTGAGCATAG